GATCCTCATTCAGAAGCGCAACGGCATCGTATACATCTTTTGGCTTACTTGTCTGGTCGCCATCGCCATCGTCATCGTGCACGCCGCCTGCACGCGTTGGTCTGGTCTAACCTTAACGCGGCTGTCCGTCTGATGCGGACGCGGAGGAAAGGACTGTGGTCCTCTCGCTTCAGTAGGGTTGACAGAAACCAGATAATTTTCAATCAGAGTAACAATGTAATTGTGAAAAAAAAATGGTAACAAAAACAGTTAACGTTGTGATTTTATCACAGCTATGTTAAAATATTCATGGGCACCGTTAATAATTTACTAATAGATAAACAAAAATATTTCGTAATGTGGTTTATATCGTTCGTTCGTTTCAGCCAAATGACGTCCACTGCTGGACAAAGGCCTCCCCCAAGGTTTTCCACAATGAATCTGGTAAAGGTCGCGGGAAGAGCCTGGATGCGGGCAGCGAAGGACCGTGGTTTATTTACCTTTATTTAAATTGAAAATCATTTACAATCAGTTTTAAGGGTTAAACCTAACCTATAATATAACCACCAGGAAGCATATTTAGGGTTTTTAAAGTGAGGAGGTTTTCCACTATAAGAGTGTACTAAATGTAGTAACCCTAAACTGTAGTACCTACTAAGAGGATAGTGCTCGCAAACACGGGAACGGTGTCCAAACAGATTAGTCGCAAGCGTGCGCCTACAACCTCCGCAGCTTCAGCGCCCAAACGGCCCGATCCCCGCGAGATTAGCCAAATGAGCGCTGCCGGATAATTCGCTTGTACCGCCGCATCCACTCCGCGCGATTAGTGCCGGTTACATAGTACTTAATTTCGTGATAAGCTTTCGGCAAGTGCATCATGGGAATTAACACCCATTAAAACTATCAACGGATTCAACCGACCTATTCGTAGGATTGAAATGGGTAATTTGAAGATATTATTGCTCTAACATTTATTTACAGATTTACGATTTGGATTTTGTTAGTTTAATTGGTTTAATTACTTCAAACTATACAGTGTGTCCGGCCTTGTAGTGATCAAACTTTAAGGGCGTAATCTATGGACAATTTTATCGATGAAAATACTTCAAATTTTTCGCGTCGGAATAGGTTTTGTGATTCTTTCAGGCAGTGCATTTTCGCATGTTAGCAGCGCTATGGGACCAGCTGGGAAGGGGTATATATTTTGTTCAACAATTTCGTCGAAACTAATAGACGTAGACTAATAAATTTACATTCGTTTTGTAGAATAGCTCAAACACTAATAATATAATGAATTACAATGCAAACAAAACATACTTTAACGACCTGGTTTTTCTTGTGTTGGAAAATAACTGAAAAAGAAGTGAAAAAAGAATCATGTATATTTCTAATTAAATCCATTCTCACTCCCATAAAATGTATGAAACTTGTGTCTGTTTACTACTTCTACTAAAAGATAATTTTATTGGCTATCACATGATACTTAAAAATATATGCTTATTAATGTTAAGCTACCCACGCTTTCACTTGTTTTTGAAGGAAGAGGTGAAAACTAAAAATTAAAAACTTAAATACTTGTAATTTTGTGATAAATGGGTCAAGCTCCAAATTTGAAGTATTTTTATCGATAAAATTGTCCCTAGATTTCGCCCTTAAGGTTTGATCACTACATGCCCGGACACACTGTATATCTGTGGTCTGATGTTGTTTCTGCAATTAATAACTGACTGAAAATTATGACTCGTGGCCGAGAAAGCGCGAGCGCGTGCGCTCGAGACAATTTATGTCACACTCATCAATTTCTGTCTCGTAATAGAGATAAACATCTTGAAGTATTTATTAGTTATATTAAATTTTGTCATTATGTACAATATTGGAAACTTGTTGCTTTATTGCCGAGGTCTAATATTTAATTAAAGTAGTTGGATGAAGTACTAATGGCACAAGTGACAGTGGGTCTAGACAAAGTGCAAATTATAATCGCAAACCAGTCGAAAAGTGGTCGAAAAGCCCCTTTTTTGTATGGAGTTTTGACGGATTCGATTTTCGATTTGATCAAAAAGTGCGTTTTGTCTAGGGGGGCAGTTACTTCAATAAATGATAGTCAATACATAGGCATTAATAAAAAACGGGGGCATTAATTATGCGATTTTTGTGTTAATACAGAAACCCTGTTTCTATTCTAAATGCAATCTCAACATGAGCTCCGAATTAGAATATTATCGCAAGCGAAACATTCCCCGGCGAAACAACAAGCTGTAATAAACATAATAATACGTTATTATAAGTAATAACAGAAGCGGCCGATATTCGCCGCGAGCTATTATTACAGCCGCGCTCACCAGTCATTCGTTATTAAACACTTCGTCTCCGCTCTACAGATTGATCGAGTGTTAGGAGATTATAATTTGCCATCCAAACACACAAGGACAAGATTCGATTAAGCTGAACTTCAAAATTAATTGAAACGAAGGCTTCAGCATATTTCGATTGATTGATCAACATGAATGGAGTACATACCTATGCTTAGTTAATCTGAATGAGGTAAAACATTTAAATTGTGGAATAACCAATTTTGCTGCCAATTGAGGCGAGAGATAGGTAGCGTAGCTCGCGTTTTTATATGAATTATTTTTATGACGAATTGACTACCGTTACATTTAAGTATCTAAAATAATTATTTTGTAAGAGTAGTGACATCTCTAACTCTGTAATCCCTTTTGTTCCCACTTTCATTTTTACCTCTGTAACTTCTTGCCAGCCAGCTTTACTATGATAAATTCCATCAACTTGCGGGACTGTCTGTTATTAACGTTATAATATTACATCTAATAAAGGTCACCAAACCTAACGTATTCCAAAATGTACCCTCAAACATTGAAATGAGTCTCCAGTCGTAATCTCCCTCTGATCGCCGATTGAAAGCTTAGTGTCCGCGGCCTGGCGCGGCGCCAGAGCGGTTACCATCAAGACTGAGGGGCTCGTTACGGCGCGCATTGAATGCATATCGCAGTGAAACGGTGCATTTATATTCATGTATGATTTATGTTGTCTTCGAGCTATGTGAGTATCTTGTTATGATGTCAGAACATTGTTTACGACTGATTTAACAGCTATTTGCTAAGCAATAGATGCACAGATCAGTGTTAGCCACCCCCGATTAGATTTAGAGAGGTAGTAATTAATTTAGAGTTACTCCGTGACCATGGCGCTAGCAACAGTGCCGAAATATCGGAAAATCAAAATTAAGGTACTCGTACATGGTAGCAATCCCGTCAGTAATAATAATTATGTTAGTGACCATGTTAATGAAAGTTTAAAACAATAAATTTAGAGAGGATTACACAGATGCGTGAACTTACCTTTACCTACACCATGTAGGGAATTTGCTTCTTCTTCTTCTTCTTGTTGTGTCGACGACAAACGTATACAGTGTCAGCCAAAAACTCCGCTACAAGAGCTTTTATATTTATTTTACAATGAAGCTAGTTATTGTAACTAACCACATGGTTGGCTCACAAAGCATTTGTCACGCATTGTCCGGTGACGGACTGGCGGCGGCGGTGCGGACCGCTGCGGCGCGGCGCGGGTTTACACTGAAAATTACCATTTCATTCTGTTTACACGCCGTTAGATCGGCTAATTATCTAGGCACTGTTTCTATTTGCTGTCGTTGCGTAAAATTATGGATGAGTTAATACTTCACAATTCGTGTGCATTCATTGCAGACACAAACGAATCAATCACGCGGCGGTCTGCTCTGTTGCTCCGGAGTGTTGAATGCCGTTAATGAATGACACTTATTTGACTACAATTAAAATACAGCGTTTGGTACATTATTATACCAAATGAAATTAGTATTACTACTGCTCAGAGGTTCCCTCCAACGCCTTGAATAATCAACACCTACCTACTCGTATTTATAGCAAAGGAGACATAATTGCTACCAATATAACAATTACTAAGCTTTTAGTGTCTAAAGAGGTATAAGCTTTCAGCCACATTTGTCATTCACAAATTCACAATGCTAGTTAGTATAAATCGCAACAAAGTAAATACATACCACTAAATTATTGTTAATGTTTGCTCTGTGAACTATTAATTAATTAATGTTTTTGTTGCTCCAACGAAACATGTTAAATTAATAATGTATGCTAAATCGCAAAATGTCAGCAACACAAATGAATGTGTTATTATTTATTGCGTTTATACATTTGCTTGTGCTACACGAACCTTTTATTTAAATGGTACATACGATGTGAACAATTACAATCATTTTTCATTGCCACGGGCATTCAACAGAAACCTGCACAATATACCATTATACATTGTAGACTAATAGGTATGTTAAAAATTATGTAATATACAACTTGTAGAGTTGTACATTGCAAAATATACAACTCTACATTGTAAGAGCAGAGTGACACACTTTGGATTCGTTACAAGCCAGCCATAACTGAGTTTTCTGTTAATACTTAGACCATTTTTGAGTCACTGAAGTAAGAGTCTACGAGTATTTATTTGAAGCCATGAAGAACATCTACCTAGTAGTTTACTTTGTAGTTTCTCATACCTATCTGCCGGTTCTTTGATCTTAAATAAGGTTTATCCTAGATTGGCAGTAAGTGGACTTGATAAATTGAGACGAGCGTATGGCGTCATTGGGCATCGATAGGGCCGTAACGTAACGCGCCACTAACGCGCACTAATCCCGGGTTAGTGCGAGTTTAGTGCGCCGTGCCATGCGTATCGCATCGCCTTGAATTATAATTATTTGCTTACAACATTGTGACATAAATGGATTTAGGAACACAAACAAAACATGTCATTGCTTAGTAAAATGCTCTTAATTTTGCTAGGTACCCAAAATATTTTATGAATATGGAAAAAATTACGACATGAATTCAGGTCGTTTGATCACCAGGCAGAAATAATGCTATGGATATGGATCCTGAAATAAAGTAACATTAAAGAAAAATCCTGAAATAAAGTAACATTAAAGATCACCGNGTGTAGGCTAGGGGCGTGTAGGCTAGGGGCCGCGTGACGTCACCTGCACGTGCAGCAGCGCGGTGTGGTCGGCGGAGTCGAGGCGCGAGTGCGCGCGGCAGGTGTAGGCTAGGGGCGTGTAGGCTAGGGGCCGCGTGACGTCACCTGCACGTGCAGCAGCGCGGTGTGGTCGGCGGAGTCGAGGCGCGAGTGCGCGCGGCAGGTGTAGGCGCCGGCGTCGAGCGCGCGCGCCGACTGCACGCGCAGTGAGCCGCAGCCCCAGCGGTAGAAGCGGGAATCCAGGTCGCTGTAAAGAGAAACAACTAGTTAGGCATGATTTACACGAGACATGTGTCCGCACGATCTAAAGCCTGGTCCTTGAGCACGTAGAATCCCGTCCAATGACCAATCCTTGTCGCTCGCACGTAATTATGTTGCTGTCGCGCTCGCACACTCACTGCGGGCGCGCGTCGCACAGTCGCGACAGCAACATAATTACACGCGAGCGATAAGGATGAGCAGCTTGGGGTCATTGGACGGGATTCTACGTGCTCACGGACCAGGCTTTAGACGCTTTATGCGAACGACGGTCTGGCATAGGCCTCCCATTTGCCAGTGACATTTACGCGCATGGACACTAGCGCGCATGGTGTCTTTTTATGCGCGCAAATGGTTTTTCACGCTTGTGTCTTCGCGCAAATGTGTTTCGCGCTAGTGTCCTGATACGCCCCACACTTGCGTCACAACTGGCGTCTTTCGAGCGTAAGCGCCTGCGCATCCTACGACGTTGAGCCAACGCTGCGACGCCAGCGCAAGATGACGACACTTGAAAAACTATAGTATGGGGGCTCAGCATATTCGGTTGCATAAAAAATATTGTCATAGGTATTATAAAGTGTATAAAGTTTTTTGGCATTCTCATCGTTTCGCATAACGTTCATACAGAATAAATTAGAGAAAGTTATTATTATGCCTAAGAAACCATTATGCATCTAAAAAACATTGCATATCAAAGTTTATGCGAAAATACTTTATGCCAATACTGTTATGCCAAACTACACTCGCGAGCAAAAGTATGGAATCACTTACATGAAGTTGTTTCCATGCGATCTTGTGTACTAACGAATTTGTTAGGAACAAAAAAAGTGGCACCATTTTAAAGATTAAACTTTTATCTTTAAATTGATACCAAATTCATTTAAATCACACCAGTATTTAAAAAGATATCCCGGCTGATGTGGAGAAGTAACGAAAAAGACATGTATGAACTGTTTGATACGTCGCGATTTGCGGCCTATTTACCCCCTATAAAAGCACGCGTTTTCGGATTTTTGCTTTCACACGTTGATTCATACACATCTCCGCTTCTTTTGACATTTTACCTGGGATTTTACACCTTCAGAAGCAGCACAAATCGTTGCACTATTGCAAGAAGGGCTCAGCCAGCGGGCTGTCGAACGTCAGCGCCACATAAGCCAGTCCTGGGTTTCGAAAGTTTTAAGACGCTTTCGGGAGACTGGTGGCTTTATCCCGAGACTAAGTTCTGAACAGCGCCGGCGCACATCGCAGAGGGAAGACCGTTTTTTCATGTCAACCTCTCTATGAAATCGTCATTTGACTGGAATCGACGTCCAGTAAGAGCTCAGGAATGTTCGTAGGATAGCTGTTAGCGAGTAGACAGTTTGTCTAAGACATAAGCAATAGAATTTAACTCCAAAAAGGCCTGCCACAGGCTCGAAACTGACGGCAGGTCACCGATAAGCACGCTTTCAATTTGCTCGTACACATCTCGATGTTAAGTCGAGCAAGCCACCCCCATAAGCCACTGTTTCAGCGAACCAGCACTGCACAAATCGCTCCTCAGGCCGCCTATAAACCCGACCTCTTCGACTGCTGCCCTGCAAACACAGTTTGCATTCATCGGAGAACAGAACTCGCCTCCATTACTCGCCTTCCCATCGAGATGTGTACGAGCAAATTGAAAGGGTGCTTATCGGTGACCTGCCGTCAGTTTCGAGCCTGTGGCAGGCCTTTTTGGAGTCAAATTCTATTGCTTATATCTTAGACGAACTGTCCACTCGCTAACAGCTATCTTACGAACATTTCTGAGCTCTTGATGGACATCGATTCCAGTCAAATGACGATTTCATAGAGAGGTTGACATGAAAAAACGGTCTTCCCTCTGCGATGTGCACCGGCGCTGTTCAGAACTTGGTCTCGGGATAAAGCCACCAGTCTCCTGAAAGCGTCTTAAAACTTTCGAAACCCAGGACTGGCTTATGTGGCGCTGACGTGCGACAGCCCGCTGGCTGAGCCTTTCTTGCAATAGTGCAACGATTTGTGCTGCTTCTGAAGGTGTAGAATCCCAGGTAAAATGTCAAAAGAAGCCGAGATGTGTATGGATCAACCTGTGAACGCAAAAATCCGAAAACACGTGCTTTTATAGGGGTAAATAGGCCGCAACTCGCGACGTATCAAACAGTTGGTACATGTCTTTTTTCTTACTTCTTCACATCAGCCGGGATATCTTTTTAAATACTAGTGTGATTTAAATGAATTTGGTATCAATTTAAAGATAAAAGTTTAATCTTTAAAATGGTGCCACTTTTTTTGTTACTAACAAATTCGTTAGTACACAAGTTCGCGTGGAAACAACTTCATGTAAGTGATTCCATAGTTTTGCTCGCAAGTGTATATTATGATGAAAAATGTTATGCGTCTGAGAGGGTACCCATATGAACCACATTTATGGGCCATTAACACGAAGACAATACAAGAGATTATTCATTCGATGAGCGCTGTCATGTTAGCACACGATAGAGTAAGGTCCTGTCTCTCATTATTGGCTAAGATAGTGTCACCAACTAGTGAAGAATACAATTATATGATTAGCATTATGAAACATATAAATAAAATGACACAGCAGTACCTGAGATCAATTTCCACTCCGTTGTTGAGCCACGTCATCTCGGGCTTGGGGCTGCCTACCGCCGCGCAGTCGAATGTTACTGACGAACCTGTATGTCAAGCATTATTATAATTAGCCCGCACGTTTTATCAAAAAAAAAAAAAAAACTCGAAACGTATTTTACACTTTTTTAAACTAATGTTGATTTGATTTTTGTTTAAATATTTTTTCATAATTTATTTGACGGACTAAAATATTTTTTCAGAAAACTAGCATATCTATAGTCTGGTCGCTGAGCACGTAGAATTTCGTCCAATGACCCCAAGCTACCCATCCTTATCGCTCGCGCGTAATTATATTGCTGTCGCGACTGCGCGACGGGCGCCCGCAGTGAGTGTGCGAGTGCGACAGCAATATATTTACGCGCGAGCGATAAAGCTGGGTACTCATCTAGCTGTGTAGCATGTAATGTATCAGATACTGTAACAAGTAAGTACATAGGCACGAGCCCGCTGCGAGCTGCACGCGCGTGGTTCGCAGGGAGATCGCAGCGACCCGCCGACTGGCGGTATCACTGCGAGCACAAAGGCGGCTCGCAGTAGGATCCAGAAGCTCGCAGCTAGATACGCGATGACCGTGGACGAGCCGTACTTGATAGTTGGACACGTTACATGCTACATGGCAGGTGAGTGCCCTGCTTAAGGATGGGTAGCTTGGGGTCATTGGACGAAATTCTATCTGCTCGGCGACCGGACTTTAGTCGGTATGCTGACCCTCGAGCACGGTGAGCTCGCGCGGCGTGGCCACGAAGCGCGGCGGCTGCTCGCTGCCCGCCTCCGCCTCCACGCGCACCTCCAGCTCCGGCCCCGTGCTGCAATACAGGCTGGTCATATGCGGGGCGTACGCGGGGAATACGTGGGGCATAAGAGTATGAGCACAGAATAATAATAAGTACTAAGTACAGTAGATATTCTTCGCGATGGTATTTAAGAAAATGTATGCTCAATGTCGTTAACAATATGGTGTAATTTAGCTTGTCTCAAGAGTCGAGCACAATTTTGTTGACAAACGTCAGTGATCGGCACTGCGCCGAAGCCATAGGGCTGACTTCGCTAAAATGATGTGTGACGTGAGGTGCCAAACTGCGGAAAATGGCGGAGGAAATACATGATTATGCATGATTTATATTTTGTGTTTCTATTATTATTATTCGGGCAGTTAAAAAATACTGCACAGTTTTAATTACACCACCGTTTTTTTTATAGTTTATTATATTTATTCATTATAGTTTATTGTCTTTACAATGCAAATGGGTGAAGAATACACGTACGTGCGTCAATACTCGCTCGTGATTGTCCTGTCGATTAGGTATCTCAGGAGGTGTAGTCGCGCGTGTTTTGTTTTCGATGCAAACTCGCGGAGATGAACAGGCTGATATGAGGAGTGAAGCCGACACTGTCGGTGTCGACGTACAATGCGGACCGAGCGCGAACGTAAGCAAGGCACTTGGACATTACACAAAAGGTCTTAATGTTCAATAATAGACTAGAGAAGATAAGCTCGGATATGCACTGGGACTTTAAAAAAATATAGGACATGTTAAGCAATATATAGCCTGACCAGGAACATAAAAACCCTCGCCATGTTGCGGAAAACTAATGGTACTAATTTCTTTTAATGGCAACAGTAACTGAAAACTTCATTGACATGTCACCTTGCATGTCAGTCTATTGCTGTCAAAGTGTAAACAAACTTTATTTTAAATGTGCGCAATTGGTTTTATGAATTAAATTGCTAAAATATTTTTATAGTCGTGAAAGAAAAGTGGTTCACAATGTGTTAAAGTATTTGTCGAAGAGAAATACTAAGGGTTCGGACAATATTTTCATTGAATAATGTTTCCGACAAAGGTTGTCAAATTGACTGACATGTTTATCGTATAGTACAGTCCACTATGAAAATTAGCTGTGGTTTGTTTCAACTACCTATTTTAAAAATTTCGTCACTTTCTAAGTGTTGAATTTTATGGGATTGGGAAAGAAGTACCGAGTTTGAAGCGTTCATGAGCAGACATTGCAGTTGAATATTCAAGTTCTGAATTTGATTATTGATGAATAATAAAATAAATCTACTAGCTCGATTGATGGTTTCATTTAATTTATTTAAACCAGGTTACCTATAATAATATTTTTTCGTTAATTTATGAAAATATCAAATTAGCCCGTAATCCTGAATCCTGATACATAAAGTTAGCCTATTAATTTAACACAGGTACGACTGTACTCAGTGTTGCACTATCAAATGCAATTGACGCGCCTCTATGTCAGGGTTTTTATGTTCCTGGTCAGGCTATAAAGATATTTTGTAACCCTAAAAACATAGTAAACATAGGTCAGGTTTTACCATTGTTGAAATTATTAAAGACGTGAAATAGACCAATACAGTAAGTGATCTTCCACATCACGTAGACAGAGAAGTTTAAAGCACCAGTTGTTGTGGAAATCTACTCCCGGGAGTCCCTTGCTCCACCTTTAGCCGTTGGCATCTAGCCTGTGACGTGTGACCTGGCCAGTTGGATGCTCTCACACTCTAGCCATATGCGCGTGTCCCCTGGCCAGCTATGTACCCACTTCCCCTGGGCAGCCGTGTAGTCACGTCCCCTGATCAACCGTGTAGTCACTTTCACTGGGCAACTGAGTAGTTACGTCCCCTAGCCAGCTGAGTAACCTCGTCTCCTGGCCACCCTCGTCCAGTGTACTCACACATCGTGGTGCGGACGACGCGCGAGGCTAACGCGACAACGATAAGTGGCGGCGTCGCGCGGTCGTAGCGGGTGCAACTCTAACGCCCCGCTGCCTGACACGGCCACGCGACCTGCTTCAAGGACCACTGAATCATCGTTGAAGAGCTACGTCACAGGGACAGCTGTGTACACTCCTCTGCATGTGTACCCACGTCCCCTGGCCAGGCTACGTACCCTCGTCCCCTGTACTCACACGTAGTGGTGCGGACGGCGCGCGAGGCTAACGCGACAACGGTAGGTGGCCGCGTCGCGCGGTCGTAATGGATCCAACTCTAACGCCCCGCTGCCTGACACGGCCACGCGACCTGCTTCAAGCACTACTGGAGCACCGTTTCGGAGCCATGTAACCTGCAACGGACAAGCAATGCTCTTAAGGCCTGCGCAGACGATGGACTTATGTCCAAGGACGATACAACTTTTTGTGCGAAGACTTAGTCTTCTATGTACGATAAGGGATCAGTATGAACAAAAAGTTAATTGTAGAGCAGCTTTAAGTGTAGGCGCACATATGGGGCAGTTTCAATCCCCTGCCCATCTCCTGAAATTCCGCCCATTGGGCCCGACACTTAGACAATGCAACCACTCTCAGGCCTAATTGCTCCCCAGAATTCCCCCCGGCTAGAATGTTCCCCATAGACCAAAATGTCCCCCCCACAGCCAGAATGCTCCACCAGGACAAAATGCTCCCCCTCACAAAATGCTTCTCAAGGTTCATCAGACAACAGTAGCTCACGTTCAAAAGAAGCGTGGGCGGCTGATGTTGCAGCCTAGCAGCGCCATACACTCTTCTATCAGGCGGTTCAGCAGCCGGCTGGATCCTTAGAGCGAGTCTCGGCGGGGCGCTGACTGCGCACGCCAGCAGTAAGGCGCCGCCAGCCGGGCCCGACACCCAGCGCGGACCTGGCGCGATAGTTGGCAGTTCTGGAAGTAGACACCGAAGTAGTTGTAGTCATTGTTATGTAAATTGTTCTTAGGTAAGTAAGTACATCGTCCAGAAGCACGACGTGACAACGTACAACGTAGGTACCGATAAGTTGCGCCTAACTACATGTGGAACTACTAGCAGAGAATTATGTTCCTTGATTCGATCGTCCCGCAGACCACCTTTCATCGTGACGAGTTTACCGATGACGTAGGAGATCACGTTCTGTGATACTTACAATTTGAAGGTAGGCTAGATATTCAACCAGTAAGACTATCATCATACGCATAATATCAAGACTTCTCTCATAAGTATCCTTGAAGATATTACTTCAAGAATACTGGTCCTGCTATCTTATTATGGTACTCACCGGCTAGGAACACGGTGGCCGTCTTGGACACGATGGTGCCGACGCCGTCCACGGCCGCCACGCACTGGTACTGCCCCGCCAGGGAAGCGGACATCTTTTCGATCACTAACGACCCGTTCGCTAGCTGCCTCCTGGAATGTAAACATGTTTCAACGTTAAAATTTACTTTTCAATAGAGAACTTGATGATTACATAGTTATTATAAGCACGAAATCATGTAATTTTAGTTTTTTGAACGCCATAAAATGGGTAGCTAGTCTTGACGGTTATGTTGTGTCACGATGTGACTCTGAAGTGGTGTCACAGCATTTTAACGCTGACGCATGAAATAATTTCCAGAGATCGTCTAGCTTCGGAATAGTCATTCTAAAAGGCCAGTTGAATCGTGACGCTATTGTTATTTTTCAGCATCTTAACTCTGCTGTAGTTACACAGTAGCCGCCAAGAGAGGCGCACGGCGCGTGGCTTTTGGACTCCATGATTTTATTTTATTTTATTTTATTTAGGAACCAACGGCGTTACAATGAATAAATCTTAAAGTAACTTAACTATAAGTATGGCTAATTATAGGTATCCCTGGAATATCCTTAAAGTAAATCTAATGATGGTAATGTTAAAGCACTCTACGGCTGTGTGGCTGTGTTGTCGTGACGCTAATGTTGTGTCATATCTTGACTCCGCTGTAGTGTCACAGGCTCACAACGTCCTACCTGTACAGGCGGCTGTCGGCGCCGGTTGTACCTACCTGTACAGGTCGCTGATGGTGATGGTGTGGTCGCGCGTGAGCACGCCGCGCGCGCTGTGCCGCCAGGAGAGGCGCACGGCGCGCGCGGCGGCGGCGGCGCACGGCAGCAGCGCCGGCTCCCCCTCCAGCGCCACCAGGTCCGCCGGCTCCGTCGTGAACCGCACGCCCGGGTCCGGTTTGAGCTCATCGCCACCTGGGGACAAAAAGAAAAGGTAAATATTTAAGGTTTAGAATTGATTTATAGAAATGGCTGGATGAAAAAATCCGGATCCGGATAAGGCTCGATGTACAAGGCAGAGCGGAGAAGTGTTTTGAATAGCCAATCAGATTTCATTATTTTCACTTCCCTTCTCCGCTCCACACAGCTCCGCTCCGCGCCGCGCTGCCGCGGGTCACTGTGTGACAATACGCGAAAAATACAGTGTCGGCCTATTCGTAAATATAGCTCTAATTTGATATAATTGTACAATAGAACATAGGTGCTTTAGTTCTATTGCTTTTCGTGGATTCCATAAAGACAAGTGTTCCCGTAAGGTTTCAATTCAAGATCAAGACGCCAACGGCCCAAAGCGGGATGTTCATACGACAATCCACTCGCCACTCGGTGCGCGCTCAAATTCGAAGTATTTTATTAATGTTTACATATTTATCACTTTACTGCACTTTAAAACACAAAATAACACCAGATTTGTACACTAAAGGCCATTAAATAATAAATTAAAACCACTAAAACAGATCGACCATGCTTGCCGCTGAACTACCCTCCACGGAATCTTTTTTTTTCTTTTAACTTTACAAGGCGGCAAAATCTGACATCAGAACTACCCGCGAAATTCGAGGCAGTGGCCTAACAGCTAACTTAGCAAAGCACAAATTAAGATCCCAATGGGTCGCCGTGCACTGCGCCCATGCGCGGCCCTAAATAAGATGAGAACAGCTAACTTACCGACTTAACTCTTCCTACGAAACCCGAAATATCTTATTAGGTCGATTAGGTTAGCTCCATAGCTCAATGCGCGCACACTGGGGATCACAACATTTACGGCCTATACTATTGTATATGACGTTACAAATCGACTACGCGGCCCGCGTACACATTAGGGATGTTATGGATATGTAGTTTCGGTTATGGATACGGTTACGGATATAGGAATAATATTATACCGGTTTTGGTTACGGTTACGGATATTTTTTTATTTCGGATATCCGAAACTTTCGGTTACGGTAACTGATATCTGTGCTTTAGAATGCAATTTGCAATAGTTGTCCAACGCGGTTCATTCATGGCCGCACACTTTACATCGAATAAAGAGATAAAAAATAAAAATTGATACTAGATGGCATTATAAAGGTAAATCAGGCTGTTATGCCTTTAAATAATATAACGCTATACATAAAACAATTTAAACTGCCTACATCCGAAACTATCCGAAACTTTTGAATCGGTTATGGTTATGGTTTCGGATATTTTTTTACTTCGGATATTTCGGTTACGGTTACGGATATTCCATAACATCCCTGGTACACATCCCATGCCGAACAAATCACGTGATATCTCGCGCGCTTTGTTCCGACATAATTAACTCCACTTTCGGGACTGGCCGGTGATTTATCACGTGAAAATCGCCACAACTTAACAAGAAACGGTGGGTTTGTGGTTTTACTTACATTGAATGTTTTGAAAGAACAAGGCAGGTGGGTATTTTACCGTAATCACCACCACACCTGTTGTTAAGTATGCAGTCTAGGATGGTAATGATGGTACCTTCCCTGTAAGTGTCATTTCATTCTCCCCTTGAAAAGGCTCGGATTATGGTATTCAGGATGATCTCTTAGAAATTAATCTGTATTTTTATGTGAATATGAAATTTGATGTTCTATCATCCAGAAATAGGTGTGACTCATTTTGTCCACATCCGTAGATGTAAACACGGCTTAATTTCATACTGAATGTGTCTAATGTGTCTATGCCTTATTTTTATGGTTAATGTTGGCAACACTGGGGATTATAGCTCTCTTCCTCATCACGCTCTCACCAACTCGTACTGGTTTTTGTAAATATTGTGTTTTTATAAATAAAAGTCAAGATTAAAGTACAAAATCTTGTTATTTGTATGTTCCACGAACACATTTACCAAGAGCCTCTCAGATTACTTTTCAAGACATGTATCATCGAAAGATTGAATGCTCATCAAACTAACATGAATATTGTAAAACAGCTGTTGAGTTTCTGAATAAATAAATAGATAAAGAGGGTACTCTTCCCCTTTCATTTGTGGTTTCGCGCTATCCTAAGGGAGAGCGCTATTGCAATAAACATTAAACGCTGAAGTTTTATCAGGTTTAGTTTTGGAGAGTTGCTCATAAAAAGTGGGATGGTTCTGTGTCAAGCACCACTTCAATACTGGAATGCAAAGTTAAAACCTGTGAATTACAGTTTCAACTAAAATTACGACTGCTATTAAGTACTTTAGTTCTCTGCAAGACTCCTCCAATAACTTGGCACGTAGTCTCAATTTTGCTATCCATAAATCGTACAACTTTTTAGGCGTGAGTGTGACAACAAACCGACAAAGTTACTGCCAAGATGTTCGGTAAAGATTAGTAGCATAATTTGATAACGTTTTAAGATTAATAGCGCCGTTTCAGTTTTCGTGATGACAAGTACCAACTTTCCTGACAAAAGCTGGCATAAACAAAACGATACCTTTTAAAATACATAAATGTATGGCGTACTAAACCCTTTTAATTTTACAAAGAGCAATAGCGCCGTTTCAATTTTCGTGATGACCAGTACCAACTTTCCTGACAAAAGCTGGCATAAAACTCATAAAATTCATTTATTTATGCAAGTAAGTAGGCTTTAAAAAAGCACTTTTACACGTCCCAGTATTAACCCTACCACTGCTTCAGGACAATAAATGGGCCAGTGCCGAGAAGAAGCAGCGCAAGAAACTCAGTCACTATTGTCAGCCTCCTATATAAATAAAACGTAACTTTTTAAAATACATAAGGTGTAAGTATGAATATGGCGTACAAAACTTTTTTTTTACAAGATTTGAGCTCATAAAATCATTATTATTGCCGAACATTATTTCCAAATTCGTAAATACGGGAAGTATTTACGAATTTGGAAATAATGTTCAATCATGTTAATCAAAATGTAAATAGGTTTTATCGAGTCCGTGCTCAGAATTCCAATAGATTACACCCTTTATCCTTTTTGCTCGTGAAATAAAATTGTAATTTCCTCCTTTTGACTGACACCCGCAATCCGGCTTATTGTGAATCTAATGAGAATTCTTAAATAACTTCGCGATGGAACATTTTGTAGGTTTCTGGGACGATTCCGAATTTTAAATTGAAGAAATACGCTGTTAAACTTTGTATTTCAAGCTAGCAATCAACTGTAAATTTCTGTGAAGTTTATAAACTGTGACATCAAAATAGGTTTACTTTATTATACACTTGGGTATTTGCCACCACTCCCCATTAATTCTAAAGCACAACTTTTTTAAGGCATTTCATTCTGGTCTTAAAAACATACTTACTTACCTGTAAATTAAGAATTTTTTGGTTGCATCACGACAGCACATCAGGCTACCCATTTTTGTTGCAAACTCGCCCCTATTACAACTTCACAAGAACCCACAGTGGATACGTGGACGTGCCGTCGTCAGTACCTAATTGAAAAAAAAAATTAAGCCAGGGCAATACTAATTGCCATACAAAATCTATGGGAAAGCCCCGTTTTGACAGTTTTAAAAAGTACGTCAATTGATTGGTGGTGGCAAATCCCCTATATAAGCGAAATAAAAGCTTGTAAAAACATTTTTGTAGGCGGCAGTCTCATCTCTAAAGAACACACGGCTTGTCTTCAATTAAACCTTTTCATCAAACAGCAGCGACCTTAATCCTTTATCATAATCTTGTTTCGGCAAAAATAAACATCATACGGCACCTGGTCCTTATCCTGTTGCTTCCTTTTTACTCCTTTGAGGATCGTCTTATGAATGAAAGGGATGGAATTAAAAGGTTGCTTTTCCTTTTACAAAATCGAAGGTTATGCACTCGTATAAAGGGAAAAAGAGGCGATTTTGAACTCGCACGTGTCTGAGCTGAATGTTCGGCAACAAAAGGTATTGTGGGCGTGTAGTGGATATTGTGATCATCCCACGACCGTGCATACTAAATAAAATAGATATTTATTTGTACAGGGAACAGTCCGGGATTGCTTATCCGATTATGAAGGGAAATATTTGCTGTCCGATAGACGATCCTGTTATTGGGGATATGGCATTTATAACGCTAGAACATAATTTTTCACTGGAATTAATATTTACTGGAAAATAATTTTGGTTAAAAAAAACGAGTCTATTAGACTCGGTTAAGCTTGTAGTACTATTGATATTCCGCACTACCCTTACCTTTACAGTCTTTATTAGAGTTACTTGTCGGAGATAGATCGAAGCAGCGGCTTCTGACACTACTAATCACTACACAACGGTTACTGTTTCGTCCATGTTTCATCTTCAATTGCCTACTTTATGAAACTTGTGACTAAAGTACGGCCAACGAGAAGCGATACCAAATGTAAACAAAACCCAATGTCATTGTCATTTGGAATAGTAGGGGTGGGTTGCACCACCTATCTTTAACGGTAACTATGACAATAACCGGTGCTTTTTGTATGGAATTTGACAGATTTTTGACGTTTGTCAAAGTTCAAGTAAGATGGTGCAACCCAACCTAAGGGTTTGACTTTGACATATTTTGGCGGGAGAACGAGACATTACGACAAATACACAAGATCGGAAGAGACAGAATAGATTGTCAGTTCGACAGTCGAATCGACCTTTTGTATGGATTCTCATTGGCAGTACTTTAGATTTATTATTACCCCCTTTCCGAATTATGGTTACCTGAGTGCACGTAACTTGCAATGTTTTCTAAGCAATTTATTCAACTAACAACGATTCACTTCATCTAGCAGGCTCACTAGCGCCGTGACGCGTCAAAAACTCGCAATTAGGTCAATCACTAGTTAGCGGCGCTTTAATTAATATTTATTGGCGTTGTGAAGGTTCGAGTATCGGGACTGATCAAATGAAACTACCTACAGGTACGTACTTACCTACGCCGAAAACTTTATATTAATAAAGTTTTAAATTACTTTTAATCAAGTCGATGTCAAGATATAAGAGTTCGGATGTTACATCGCTAGATGAGACATTGAGGAGGATCATGGTATCATTAATACCTATTACATAATTAAATACCTATCGTCTTCTGACGGAATCAGCAGAGGTCTCGTCTGGTTTGAGTAAGTAGAACTATTTAAAAAAAGACATAACCCCTGGCTTTCCGCGGCACAGAAATACCTATTGGTAATTTGTTGAAATTAATAGTAAAGCTAGAAGATATCATAAAGGTAGCAGGATGGCGCTGGACGTAGGCCGCTACCAACCGGTCAACATGGAAAACATAGGCCATGTTCAGCAGTGGACATCCTATGGCTAAAATGATGATGATGATCATGATGAAAGCTAGAAGGTCTGTTATTGTTGTCAATGTGTTCCACGAAGGATCTGTGTACGCACAAGCCGCCTACCGCAGTAGCGAGCTATGTAATTCAATGAATCCTTTATTCCTATGTGACGTAAAGCTCTAGCTCTCACGTTATGTTACGTCACTTTACACACGCGGAGTGACGCGACATGACGCGGCACAAGTCGCCGCCAATCAGGTCAATTGCTAATCCGCTGCCGAGTGCCGCTGGATGGGGCTTGACACCACCCTGCCTGATACATGTTTGTTGGCACAATTATTTCTATAACACAGCTTCCGTATTTAGCAACACATAGACTGAAGGTAGTTTTAATTGTAGACTGATTTGATATAAAACCTGCTGACCCAGCTTGTCTAGCGTCACTTAACTTCACGCGGAGTGACGCGGTACAAGTCACCGCCAATCAGGTCAATTGCTAATCCGCTGCCGAGTGCCGCTGGATGGGGCTTGACACCAACCTGCCTGATACATGTTTGTTGGCACAATTATTTCTATAACACAGCTTCCGTATCTAGCAACACGACTGAAGGTAGCTTTAATTTTAGACTGATTTGATATAAAGCCTGCTGCTCCAGCTTGTCTAGCGTCACTTCACTTCACGCGTCATGACGCGGCACAAGTCACCGCCAATCAGGTCAATTGCTAATCCGCTGCCGAGTGCCGCTGGATGGGGCTTGACACCAGCCTGCCTGATACATGTTTGTTGGCACAATTATTTCTATAGCACAGCTTCCGTATCTAGCAACACATAGACTGAAGGTAGCTTTAATGAGGGCTATCGTTTTAGCGCTCACCAGTTAGCGCCACTGTAGAGTAAGGTCCTGTCACTTGCTAGTATCGAAGACAGTGGCGCCAACTTGTGAGCGCTAAAGTGTTAGGAGGACTATCGTATTTGCACTTATCAAGATGGCGCCACTGTAGAGTAAGGTCCTGTCAATCGCCAGGGGTGCCAACTGTTAAGTATAAAAACGATAGCCCTCATTGTAGACTGATTTGATATAAAGCCTGCTAATCCAGCTTGTCCAGCGTCACTTCACGCGGAGGGACGCGGCACAAGTCGCCGCCAATCAGGTCAATTGCTAATCCGCTGCCGAGTGCCGCTGGATGGGCCTTGACACCACCCTGCCCGATGCATGCGGCGAATACAGCATCAACATGTTTTGTTATTTACAGCTCGTTAACGATCGACGAAAAGACTAGTAGCACTTGGTTTCTATTATTTTAAAATGTTTCAACTTGAACATTTTAAAATACATAATAGAAAATTTATTCAGCCGACGATTTGACGACTTTCTTCTCTTAACCATTAGTGTTTGATTTTTTGAAAACAAAATTATACTGTAAAATGTGGGAATGTAATACGGAGCAGCACACCAGAGTAACCGCCATAAAGTGGCAGTGCGCGGGGCACATATCTTATAGAGCTGATGGCCATTGGGGCAGAAAAGTTCTCGAGTGGCGACCACGGACCGGAAGACGTAACGTGGGCAGGCTCTCCACTAGGTGGACCGACGATCAGGCGCGGATCCACCGTTGTGGGCACTGTGGGCATGCCCACAACCCTAATTTGCTTGTTTTAATTATGATCTATTGATTAGTTCGATAGGCATGTAATGTCCGGGCATGTAGTGATCCAACTCTCACTTTGCTAATTTTTGGTGGCTGTGCCCACAACCTTTTTAGGGTTCCGTAGCCAAAATGGCAAAAACGGAACCCTTATAGTTTCGTCATGTCCGTCTGTCCGTCTGTCCGTCTGTCCGTCTGTCCGTCTGTCCGTCTGTCACAGCCGATTTACTCGGAAACTATAAGTACTACAGTGATGAAATTTGATGGGAATATGTGTTGTATGAACCGCTACAAAATTATGACACTAAATAGTAAAAAAAAGAATTGGGGGTGGGGCCCCCCATACATGTAACTGAGGGATGAAAATTTTTTTTCGATGTACATACCCGTGTGGGGTATCAATGGAAAGGTCTTTTAAAATGATATAAAGTTTTCTAAAAAACATTTTTCTTAAAGTGAACGGTTTTTGAGATATCAGCTCTCAAAGTCGTAAAAAGTATGTCCCCCCCCCTCTATTTTTATAACTACGGGGTATAAAATTCTAAAAAAAATAGAGGTGATGCATGCTAATTAACTCTTTCAACGATTTTTTTTGAGAGCTGGATCCGCGCCTGCCGACGATCTGTTCATCAGATCGCTGGATGAACCTAGATGCAGGCAGCGCAGGATCAGTCGCTATGGAAATCCTTGGGGGAGGCCTTTGTCCAGCAGTGTACGTCATTTGACTAAAACGAGCGAAAGAAATGAATCATGGCAGAGTAAAACCTTTTTAACGCCTTATTGAATTGTAATAGGTGCTACTTTGCAATCAAATTGTGTAGTTCCTGTTTTCATCTCACCTAAACACAACATTTATGTTTTTGCCACACACCCCGTATTATCGTAACAGCGTATTAACCCCGTCATGGCTCTTATAACTCCTTCACCCCATTAGGTTAGTTGTCTCGAACACTCGGCTCGAGCTAACCGCGTTAAGCAGAATGGACAAAGCAAGGGTTAACGATTTTAGTGTGTTTGTTTGCTACCGCTGGGATAGTGTACAGTGTACACAGTACACACGGCAGATCCGTATGGGCGTGGTGAACGAGATCATTTGCGAACGTATTGAGTAACTTGCTTCTGCACGCGGCTTTGACTGCAAGAACTTACAATATTTATTTCTAAGCTATTAGTTTTTAGAATTTTAGCCCTATTAGGAAAGTTGTGATTAGTAAAAGTTACACGTTTTAGTTCTGCAATTTATTTACGACCAGCCTGTATACCACGATTATAACTTGCGCCCTGTATCTTACTTCTTACCGAAATGTGTATAGTATAGGGGTAGAGTTTTCTGCAGTTGTGGCTTACCTGAAACAAGTAACAACTTATAAGTAACACATATAAATAAATCATATAAGTAAATCATAAAGGTAGCAGGAAGGAGCTGGACACCGGCCGCTACCAATAGATCAACATGGAAATCATTGGTGGAGGTCTATGTTCAGCAGTGGAATGGCTGAAATGATGATGATGATGCAGTAAAATATGAGTAAAACATACAAAAAATAGAGATGTACAAATTGTACAAGTTGGGAAAGAAAAATCTTTTGGTCTCTTATTTGTGCATGTATCATAAGGGTTCTCAAGAAGTTTAGGAAAAAACACCAATTAAATCACAGTCACGTGGTTTTATTGTTCATCAGGCGATTTTCTGACAAGCTTCTAGAAAACACTAGTACCAAGATCGAAAGACGTGTCACAGACACCCAGTATTTATTATTAACGTCATTTTAGTGTTTTACAATGTACTCGTACTCTCCCGAGGTGTCCCATATTCCTCGCTGCTCAAAGTTGCATGCGATCGCGCCGTGAATAACTAACTAGTTTAATGACACGTGCTGTATTTGTTTTTTTTTTTATGTGACAGGAGGCAAACGAGCAGACGGATCACCTGATGGTAAGTGATTGCCGTCGCCCATAGACACCCGCAGACCCAGGGGCGTTACAGGTGCGTTGCCGGCCTTTAAGGTGAAGATACGCTCTCCTCTTGAAAGCTTGCAGGTCGTATACGTGACCGTCCGGAAACACCGCAGACGACAGTCCATTCCACAGTTTGGTTGTACGGGGCAGGAAGTTTCTAGAGAAACGTACTGTTGTGGACTGCCAATCATCTTAAGTGATGGGGGTGGAAGTGCTGTCGGGTAGATCGGTGGCGAAAAGTGGCGGCAGGAATAAGTCCGGATAATTCTTCGGAGCATGCGATCTCGCGCGAGTTGTGCCGTGAATAACTATGTAGTTTAATGACACGTTCGACTGCTGTATTTGTTTATTCCAGTTGCACCATTTTCTTTATCTTATTACAAAGATCTGTTTAACGATCGACAAGAATGCTTTGTGCACGTGTCACAGACACCCTGTATTTATTATAGACGTCATTTTAAAGTTTTACAATCTACTCCTGAGGTGTCCCATATTCGTCGCTGCTCAAAGTTGCATGCGATCTCCCGCGAGTTACGCCGTGAATAACTAAATGGTTTAATGATACTTTCGACTGCTGTGTTCATTTATCGCTAGGCCAGATAGTAATGCAGCTGCCTTAGCCAAACAGAATATTCGAAAAACTCATGCGTGTAAGTGTTCTGAGCTACTACAGCCTATGAGTACATACAGAAAAAGAACTTGAATTTGAGAAAAGATTGCTACCAAAACAAGCAAGTCAAAATGATGTTAATAATTGTTTCTTCATTTCAATAAAAAAAAATGTCAAAAAGATACATCAGAGTAAATTGAATTTCATTATTTGAGTATCTTTATTGTGAACCTACCGTACCGTTACTATATCAAAGAATGGAAGTTAGGTACGAGTTTTTTACAGGGATAATGGCAATTGTTGTTTCTTGTCAAATCGCTCCCTAAAATAAAGTACACGTAAATATTGTTAGACAATAAGGAGCGTTCAGTCGTTCAGCCAGCTCAGCGGTAGACGTAGCCCATTACCGTCAAATTGTCTGGTCTAGACTGCCTCTTTTATTTTCTAGTCGCAGCGGAGCTACAACGATGTTGTAATGTAGGCAACAATTTGGCTACAAGTGTTCAGGGTTTTGCAGATAATATAGTCCATGTTCTTGTCTTTTATCTACCAAAAAAATAATCTATTGAGTCGAACTGCAGTTATTCATTGTAATTTTTTTCCTACATTAAAGAACTATGATGAAAACATGTTTCAGTCAGCACAAAGACTGCCTATAAATAAAATAAACAACACAGAGAAAGTCACTGAAAACAAAATTAAATTTTACCGAAATGAAATGAATGAAAATGATTTCAATAAATTCGTGGCTTCTGAACAAAGGGATGTACAAATTGTCTCTTACGGAGTTCATTTGAATCACATCCACTCTATGAACATTTCTACCGTCTGCTTATTGCCATCTATCTATAAAATAAAATAGATAGGTCACTGACTGACTGACTGACTCACTCACTCATCACGAAATCTCAGAAACTACAAGTCTTTCTTTTAGAACGTAGGTGCTCACAAAGACGGGATTTTGCAAAATTCATCTCCTAAGGGGGTAAAACGGGGTCCACGCGTACGAAGTCGCGGACGGCCGCTAGTACCATATAAAAACGAAATAAAAAATAAACGAGTAGAGCCCATAAAGAGAGGCTACTTACAAACGAAACGAACCTAAAAGCGAATGACCACATAACCTCTTGACACCATCAGAGGACCGATGGAATTGTATCGCCCGCGCCAAATCGTACGCAGGCAATTTCCGGGCAAGAAGCGCCACTTCCGGCCAGCGCTGTGACCAGTGCGGATGCACATGACCGACCCAGTGTCCAGCGCAATCGCTATCAAAGACATGGCGATTGTGGAACTGTGATAGCGATTATACCTTTCAAAATAATCAAAAAAGCTT